AAAGGAGTGGTTTTTATTTTTTAGAGATAATTTGTTTTTAATATTCTTACAAATAGTAGTTACTTTTGATAGTAGCTTAGCCCTTATATTTTACTAACTAAATGTCTTAGGTTTATAGATGTAGTATTTATAGATATCTTGAAGTCTGTTAGTATAACTTAGTGGTTAAGTCTCCAGGGCTAGAGTCAAAAGATCTATGTTCACATCTTGACTCTTGTTTCTTAGTAAATGACCTGAAGTTAATGAATTAAGTTCTCTTTAAAAATCTCTCCATTTATAAGATGAACTAATAATAGTAACCTCATGAAGTTGTAAAGTTTAAGAGACATTATTCATACAAAGTTAAAATTTAGTTGAATGTCATTCACATGGTGAACATGCCATAAATATTAGCTATTTTTAAAATCTGATCACCCCTGGAATTTGTTATGAAATGAAGGGTAAACACATCCAAGCAAGACTTTGATATTCATCAACCATTCTGTGTCCACAGGAATTTCTTACTGTTTATATTGGTTCCTTTGCCTTATAAAACCATATGTGTTGCTGAGCCTCTCTGATTAAACTACTGTGGTCTGCAGTATGGTTTCCCAAGTACAGTCTACAAGATGATTTCAGGTGATACATGACAAATCTTTACACTTAACTTGTATATCTATTTTGTTATATGTGCATAAAATATATACCTAGTGCATATATTGGTATCTTTCAGAATAAGATAAAAAGAGAGCATTGAAGGATTGATTGCTTAGAGCATTGCTTAGAGCCTCACTAAGTTGCTCCGCCTGGCTTTGAATTTGCAATCCTCCTGGCTCTGCCTCCTTAGTTGCTATGATTACAGTCATACACCACCACACTGGAAAAATTCCTATTTTTAAAAAAATATCTTTATTTTGTTTATTTATTTATCTTTATGTGGTGCTGAGGATTGAACCCGGTGCCTCACATGTGTGAGATAAGCACTCTGCCACTGAGCCACAACCTCAGCCCCAGGACTTTTTTTTTTTTTTAACAGAGAAAAGAACACACAAAATTTGTTACATGCCTAAGGCATGGGAATATAAGATTCTAGCTTTAGAACTTTGTTCTCTAGAGTCTCCTCCCCATATCTATGTCCAGGGTTTCCATCCTGATCCTGGAAGCTCAGTAGAACTGATGAAATTTGTCTTCCATCTAAACTTTTGTCATCTACCCTGTACCTGGAAATCTTTTTATTTTTTTAACTAAATGAGTTACATATTTTTCAAAACAAATGAATAGAAAATCTGACATTTTCTTAGGACAATTAGCTGAATGGTAGCCTGCTTTTAAAAATTTAAGTTTCAAAAATAAATTGTTATTTCTTTAATCTTCAAGTCCAAATACTATTAACCATTATAGTCTTCTTGAATTCAAATTTTATTTTTATTGTTTCAATTAAATCTAATGTTTTTTACTATTAAGTAAAACAACTATGTATTGGGATTTTTAGTGCCCATTGAGTACACCAATGTGAATGTCTTATTTTTTTTTTTTAGGATTTATTAAGTCTAAAGTCACATTAAATTAAATATTTTTGTTATTAAGTTGATTTTAAAATATAAATTAGACCCTAAAATTTGACACATGAGCATACACATCAATTTGCTTTATTCATGAGGATAGAAGTGCTTTTGCTATGATGACTAGGTTGTCTTTACAAGTACTGCACAAAAGCATATTAATGTAAGTGCATAGTTTGTACATAATTTCTTAATGAAAAATATAAATTTCATTTATAATTTATAAAAATCAATAATACAAGTAGGATTTATTCCCAAGAATGAAGTAGTTTTAAAGCTGTTTGTTTTAAGGGGAAAAGAATATATGATTATAAAGACTTCATCTGATAAACTCATAGTTTCATTTTATATTTTTAAAGATGTATACTTTTAAAAGCACAACTTTGATATCAACTATTTTTAAACAAAGATTTATTCAGTGATTATCAAGGGATTAAACAAGTTCATAAATTACTGTTCCTGTGTTTTCATTTACACACAAAAATAGATATGACTTTTGATTTTTAAAATTCTTGAGAGACCTTACATGAAATTTATCGACCAAAAAATAGGAATGAAAAGTTGGGTTTTTTTGTGTGTCATATATATACAGATACACTGGTAACGTGTTCTTCACTTGTGCTTCTGAGAGATCTAGAACTCTATCCCTTCCTTGTGTGCTGAACTCTCTTGAGGTCCACGTAAGACCTTACAGACCACACACATACATACTTTCAGAATCCTTTGTACTATTATTTTTTTGTTTTAGACCATGTTCTTTCTTTTAGCTGTTATTGGTAAAATAACATACTTATATCTGGGTATTTAGGTAAGTACCATATGAAGACATAGGCATTTGACTTTCAAATATTTTGAAAACTGATACGGAAGTATACTTTATAGTAATAACCATTGTTATGGTATATTTATGTATGAGTATAAACAGCATTTTAGTGAAAATACATTTATATATATTATGCCTCTGCTATGACAGAGAAATGCAGCTGTCATTGTTAATATTTTCTTTTTACTCTAAGCCTTGTCCCTATAACTTAGGGACATTTACTACAAATCCCCTGCCCTTCTGTAGGTTTATTGCATAAGATAAGGAAATTATAACTCCTCTTTATAAACCTTAAGGAACTTGCATATTAGGATTCAATCAGACTGGTTAAATGAGTTTATAATGAAATGCAGAGCTTTCCTGGCCACATACTTCAGGGTTATTGGCCATTAAATGGCTTATCTATGAAATCCCAGTCTTTTACTTATTCTTCTAAAAACAGGAAGTAACAACCAGCCATTTGGTCTTCTCAGGCTGTCCTTTATCCTACACATTCACTCCCAGGAGCCCTTGTCCACAAATGAAGGAATCTTAGTTAGTAAAACTGCAGGAAATATATAAGAGAGATTTGCAGGCAACCATGTCAGTTTCTTTAATTATGTTGTCCATATAGTATGGTATAACTATATACTAAAGAGTATATAGTTATACCATACTATATACTCTTTAGTATGGTATAAGATTGGCTGAGGAGGGTTAAAGAAAGGAGTGTCCCATAATGCCCAGACTTCTATCCAAGACTGGTCTAATTACTGTTAAGTCATACTGCTCCCTTTATCATTACTCACTGGTGTCTTCTCTGTCTCAGCTCACATTCCCTGCAGTACAGAACCATGCTTGTTAACTGTTGGAAATAGAAAGCCTACCTAGTTTCACCAGCTCAAAGATTGAATGATAGGCAAACATTTTGAAGCCACCATTTTGACAAAGCAGCTTTGAAGGATATAATCAAGACTTTAAAATAGAAGAAAATGATGAATAGTTTTATGCCTTCTATATGAACTTAAACTACATTTTAATCAACTATATATTTTTTAATTTAATTTTTATTTGTTTTAATTAGTTATCCATGATAGTATAATGCATTTATGTACTTTAATATATCATTTATAGATGGGATTTAATTTCTCATTTTCTGAGTGTACATGCTATAGAATCACATTTAACATGCAGTCACATATATGCATAAAGTAATAATGTCTGTTTCATTCTATTATCCTTTCTATCCCCACATCCCCTCCCCTTCCCTCTACCTAATCTAAGGTAACTATATACTTCTCTAGTTCCCCACCCCTAATTGTGAATTACCATATACATATTAGAGAAAACATTCGACCTTTGGTTTTTGAGGGATTTGCTTATTTCACTTAGCATGATATTCTCTAACTCCAACCATTTACTGGCAAATGTCATAATTTTATTCTTATTTAAAGCTGAGTAATATTCCATTGACTATATATACCACATTTTCTTTATTCATTCATCTATTGAAGGACACCTAGGTTGGTTCTCTAGTTTAGCTGTTGTGAATTGAATTGTTATAAACATTGGTGTGACTGCACTACTGTAGTATGCTGAGTTTAAGTCCTTTGGGTATGAACTGAGGAGTGGGATAGCTAAGTCAAATGATAGTTCCATTCCCAATTTTAGGAGGAATCTCCATATAGCTTTCCATAGTGGTAGTACCAATTTGCAGTCTCACCAGTAATGTATGAATGTACCTTTTTTCTCACATCCTTGCCAACATTTATTGTTGCCTATATTCTTGATGATTGCCATTCTGACTGGAGTGAGATGAAATCTTAGTGAAGTTTTGATTTGCATTTCTCTAATTTCTAAAGATGTTGAACACTTTTTCATATATTTGTTGGTCAATTGAATTTCTTCTTCTTTGAAGTGTCTGTTTAGTTCTTTAGCCCATTTATTGACATAGTTATTTGGGGTTTTTTTGGTGTTAAGTTTTTTGATAAACTCCTCATTTTTGAGAAATATAAGTAATAGGCATTTCTCATCCCATCCTTCTTTCCTCTGTACCTTTTTCTTTACTGTTCTCTCTGCTTTCCTGTTTTTACATTTCTGCCATTTCATTCTGCATGTCCATCTCACACCTGAAGCACCATATCTGAGGCTCACCACTTTTGTCCCTCTTTCATTATATTCCCTTGAGAGGTAGTAACTCAGGCCATAGAACCCATCTTGTGGCTTGGATCTATTAAGTTTTTCAATATACTGTGGGGCAAGGGTAGTACCAATTTCTAATGGTCTATAATGGGTAGTCACAGCAACGTGTGGCACCTCTGGTGTATATACTTGTGAGTTTAAAGGCAAAAAACACTTACTAAAATTCTTTTATGAGTTATTAGTGTCTTGCAGGATTGATTGTTCCTTTTCCTTATATAAAATCTATATTTAAGCTCCCCAAATTAATTTTGCATACTATGGAAGACTGTTTTAAAATTCTATAGTTCAGAAATTGTCTTTTTAATATATAATTCTGAATAGAATCTATTCTTTTTCCTTCTAATTTAATTCTTTTACAATATCAAGGTTGTGAAGTATCAAAAGAGAAGACATTATTTGTAATAACTACTATGTTATGTTCATTTAAAAATGTATTTATCACTTTTGTCTTACAGGACAAACTATTCGAGAAAAAAGGATTGTAGAAACAGCAAATAAAAAAGAAACAGACTATGAAGTGGGGGATATCCCAACAGAATGGGAAGGTAAGATTCTGCTTTTAGTAGAATTATCTGAGAGGCAAATTGTTTAACAAAATTTTTTAATTTTAATTTTAACAGAAGTTAATAAGAGCATATATAATTACATACTTCTGTTTTTTGAAAAACCTTTTATATCCTGAATCCATCAAACTCTTTTTAAACATTGCATTTCTTTAAAATTTATGAAGTTGACAAACTTTGGAAAGGGAACGCATGTATAACAAAAAGAACTATGAAGCATTAGCAGAGCTGGGACTAAAGTGAGGCAAGCAAAACTCCACATATGCAAAGTTAAAGAGATACCCACCCTGCACTTGGACAACCCCAGGATTTAAAGCCAATTTCTGGCATGCACTAGTTACATGAATTTGAGAAATATACTTTTCAGTCTTAGTTTTCTCTTTTATAAGTTGTTGAGAATGCTTGCTGTAGATACCATTTGGAATATTTATTCAAGGCACAGTGACCCTGTTAACTGATCTCCTGTTTAGACAAGGATGGATGGTTTATCCCTATCTTATACTCTGAAATTAAGTAAAAGATCAAAGGGGTATAAAGCAGCAGGAACTAATCTGTCCTTGTGGCTTGGGAAGTAATATATGAACATGGGAGCTTGAGAGTAGCCATTTTCAATCCACCATTAAAGTTTTATTGCAGAAAAAGCTGATCAACAGAGAAGAAAACTGAAACTACTTTGCAAAGAAAATACATAAGAAAGCAAGAATATTTCCTAGGTTTCCAACAGCTCTTCAGTTCCCAGTTATATTTCTTTCTTAATGAAGTTTCAATGCAAATCAGTATTCTAACCAGGACTTTATGTCCTTAATATACATTTACCTTTTTTCCTTTCCAGTTCCTTACATAATGCCTGACACATGGGAAGGCACATAGTAAGTGCTCAGTAAGCAACCTTATTAAATACCTAAGGTCTAGACTATGTTAGGCTTTGTTATTTAGCACTAAAAGAACCTTACCTGAAAATATATAATCTTGAAAAAATGTAGACCCCACAGTGATAATGGTAAGAAACCACGAGCAGAATATTCAAGAAATATGGGATAGCATAAAAAGGCCAAATTTAAGAATTATTGGGATAAAGAAAGGCCTAGAGGTCCAAACCAAAGTAATGAGCAATCTATTCAATGAAATAATATAAGAAAACATTCCAAACATGAGGAATGAATTAGAAATCCAAATTCAAGAAGCCTATAGGACACTGAATGTACAAAGTCACAATAGATCCACACCAAGGCACATTATAATAAAAATGCCCAACATACAGTCTAAGGAGAGAATTTTAAAAGCCACAAGAGAAAGCAATCAGATTACATATAGGGGAAAACCAATTAGGATAATGGCAGATTTTTCAGCACAGACCCTGAAAGCTAGAAGATCCTGGAACAACATATATCAAGCTCTGAAAGAAAGTGGATGCAAACCAAGAATCTTGTGTCCAGAAAAATTAATTAAAGTTTAGATTTGATGATATAAAAACCTTCCATGATAAACAAAAGTTAAAAGAATTTATAGCTAGAAACCCAGAACTACAAAACATCCTTGGAAAAATATTCCATGAAGAGGAAATGAAACCAACAATGAAAATCAATAGAGGGAGGTAGTATCCTAAAGGAAAAACTAATCAAAGAAGAAAATCAAGTCAAGTTAAATAATAAAAATAAACAAATATGGCTGGGAATACAAACCATGTCTCAATAATAACCCTGAATGTTTAAGCCTTAATGGCTTAAACTCACCAATCAAAAGACATAGGTTAGCAGATTGGATAAATAAAAAAAGACACAACAATATGCTGCCTCTAGGAGATTCATCTGATAGGAAAAGACATACACAGACTGAAGGTGAAAGGTTGGGAAAAATCATACCACTCACATGGACTCCAGATGCAAGTAGGGGTTTCCATCCTCATATCAAATAAAGTAGACTTGGGCTGGGGATGTGGCTCAAGCGCTAGCGCGCTCGCCTGGCATGCATGCAGCCCGGGTTCGATCCTCAGCACCACATACAAACAAAGGTGTTCTGTCCGCCAAAAAACTAAAAAATGAATATTAAAAAATTCTCTCTCTTTAAAAAAAAATAAGTAAATAAATAGAGTTCAAGCCAAAGTTAATCAAAAGAGACAAAGATGGACATTATATACTGCTCAAGGTATCAATACACCAACAAGACATAACAACCATAAATATATATGCCCCAAGCATTGGAGCAGCTTTGCTCATCAAACAAAGTCTTCTCAAGTTCAAGAGTGAAATTGACCACAACACAGTACTCATCGGTGACTTTAACATACCTCTCTCACCACTGGATAGATCTTCCAAACAAAAATTGAATAAAGAAACAATAGAGCTCAATTATACAATTAATAACTTTGACTTAACTGATTTATATACAACATTTCAACCTTTATCAAGTGGGTCCACTTTCTTCTCAGCAGCACATGGATCCTTCTCTAAAATAGACCTTATACTATGCCACAAAGCAACTCTTTTTTTTTTTTAAAGAGAGAGAATATTTTAATATTTATTTTTTAGTTTTCGGTGGACACAACATCTTTATTTTATTTTTTTATGTGGTGCTGAGGATCAAACCCAGTGCCCCATGCATGCCAAGCAAGTGTGTTACCGCTTGAGCCACATCCCCAGCCCACAAAGCAACTCTTAATACAAAAAAGTAGAGATGCTACTATGCATTTTATCAGATCATAATGGAATAAAATTGTAAATCAATGACAAAATAAAAAATAAAAATTACTCCAACACTTGGAGACCAAACAATATGATACCGAATGAACAATGGGTTACAGAAGATATCAAGGAGGAGATTAAAAAATTCTTAGAGGTAAATGAGAACATAGACACAACATATCGAAATTGCTGGGACACTGTGAAAGCAGTACTCAGAGGAAATTTTATTTCATGGACTTCATTCCTTCAAAGAAGAAAAAATCAACAAATAAATGACCTAACATTTCATCTCAAAGCCCTAGAAAAAGAAGAACAAATCAACACCAAAAGCAGTAGAAGACAGGAAGTAATTAAAATTAGACCTGAAATGAAAACAATTGAAAAAATTGACAAAGCAAATGTTGGTTCTTTGAAAAAATAAATAAAATTGACAGACCCCTAGCTACACTAACAAATAGAAGGAGAGAGAAAACTCTCCAGCATACATGATGAAAAAGGTAATATCACAACAGACACTCTAGAAATACAGAGGATAATTAGAAATTATTTTGAAAACTTATACTCCAATAAAATATAAGATATTGAAGGCATCCACAAATTTCTTAAGTCATACGATTTGCCCAGATTGAATCAGGATGATATACACAATTTAAACAGACCAATATCAATTGATGAAATAGAAGATGCCATCAGAAGCCTACCAACCAAGAAAAGCCAAGGACCGGATGTATACACAGCTGAGCTCTACAAGACCTTTAAAGAAGAACTAATACCAATACTCTTCAATTTATTTCAGGAAATAGAAAAAGAGGGAGCACTTCCAAACTCATTCAAGCTAATATCACCCTGATTCTAAAACCAGAAAAAGACACATCAAAAAAAGAAAACTTTAGACCAATATCTCTAATGAATATAGATGCAAAAATTCTCAATAAAATTCTGGCAAATTGAATACAAAGACATCAAAAGTTAGTGCACCACAATCAAGTGAGATTCATCCCAGGGATGCAAGGTTGGTTCAACATTTGGAAATCAAAAATTATAATTCATCATATCAATAGACTCAAAGATAAGAATCATATGATCATCTCAATAAATGCAGAAAAAGCATTTGACAAAATACAGAACCCCTCCATGTTCAAAACGCTAGAGAAACTAGGGGTAACAGGAAAATACCTCAACATTGTAAAGGCTATCTACTGTAAGCCCCAGGCCACCATTATTCTAAATGGGGAAAAATTGAAGGTATTCCCTCTAAAAACTAGAATAAGACAGGGATGCCCTCTTTCACCACTTCTATTTAACATAGTTCTTGAAACACTGGCCAGAGCAATTAGATGAAAGAAATTAAAGAGATATACATAGGTAAAGAAGAACTCAAATTGGCACTATTTGCTGATAATATGATTCTATACCTAGAAGATCAAAAAGCTCCACCAGAAAACTTATACAACTAGTAAATGAATTCAGCAACATACCAGAATATAAAATTAACACCCATAAATCAAAGGCATTTCTGTGTATCAGCAACAAATCCTCTGAAAGGGAAATGAGGGAAACTACCCCATTTATAATAGTCTGAAAAAAATTAAATGCTTCAAAATCAACTTAATAAAAGAGATGAATAGAACCCTATAGAGAGAAATCAAAGAAGACCTTAGAAGATGGAAAGATCTACCTTGCTCTTGGATAGGCAGAATTAATATTATCAAAATGACCATACTACCAAAAGCACTGTATAGATTTAATGTAATTCCGATCAAAATTCCAATGGCATTCCTCACAGAAATAGAAAAAGCAATCATGAAATTCATCTCGAAAAATAAGAGACCCAGAATAGCTAAAGCAATCCTTAGCAGGAAGAGTGAAGCAGGTGGCATTACTATATCAGACCTTAAACTATACTCCAGTCTAATAGTAACAAAAACAGCATGGTATTGGCACCAAAACAAACTGGTAGACCAATGTTACAGAATAGAGGACTCAGAGAGACTAAACCCACAAAATTATAATTATTTTATATTAGACAAAGGTGCCAAAAACCTGCATTAAAGAAAAGGTAGCTTCTTCAACAGTTGCTGATGGGAAAACTGGAAATTCATCTGCAACAAAATGAAATTAAACCCTTATCTCTCACCAGCACAAAAATCAACTCAAAGTGGATCAAGGACTTAGGAATTAAACCAGAGACTCTGTGTCTAATAGAAGAAAAAGTAGTCCCTAACCTTTATCATGTGGGATCAGGCCCCAATTCCTTAATAAGATTCCTACAGCGCAAGAATTAAAACCAAAAATCAATAA